TCTCTCTCTCTCTCTCTCTCTCTCTCTCTCTCTCTCTCTCCCTCTCTCTCTCTCTCTCTCTCTCACACACACACACACTTACACACACACAAGCGTGCATACACACATACACGAATGCAAACGCAAACACACACACACACACACACACACACACACACACACACACACACACGCACGCACGCACACACCTCGCTTCTTTCATTTGACCCAGTTAACATGGCCCTAAAACTGTCCTCGCAACGCTATAAAACAGTAAAGGAACCTAAAACAATGCAAGTTGTAAAAGACGCTGTTTCTTTAGATGTGACATAGTAATTGTAGAGAAAAAGTAAAATTCGGAAGGGGGAAAGGGGGGGGGGGGGGGCATGGAGATAGGGATGTGTGAAAGAAAAAATATCGTATCTTATGAACATGTTTCTTGCAATGCTGTTCCAGCTATTGAATGGCCGTAGATTGGACTCAGGACCTTTGGAAAGCAAGACATCCAGAGTGAACACTGAACTGCACCCCCCCCCCCTCCTTTCCCTCTAAAATCTCATTCTTTTTCTTCTTAGTTTAAGTAAGATTTTTACAGCACTTGCAACTCAAATAGATTATATTAGCGGTGACGATCAGAGGCGTCACCAGAGAGTGACATATTCAATTAAAAGAAGGAAGAGATAGGGACGATAGACGTTTAATAACAAAGAAAGGGCAAACCACACCAGAGTACCCGCCAATCACCCACTTCCTTCTTTTTAAAGGACATTTTACAATGTATTTTATAGATATTATACTACCATTCTGACTTACCAAGCAAAGCCGTGCTGTGAACTAACGTTAAAACAAACAACGTGTGTCCCGCGCGCTCATATGACCTAATGCATTTGCGAGCGCCGTAGAACTGTTACCAAACTGAAACTGCAAAGTTCACAATATAAATTATATTTTTCCTTGGTCCCACTTTTGATAGGCTGTTTCTCGTACATCACAATTGCGTTGTTTGTTAAGGCTTTGACCGCAAACACCAATTAAATAACCGAAACTTTACTAAACAGGAGGAAAACACTGACATCAAAAACCTCGTCTCCTGTTCTCAGGTTTTGGAGGTGTGTTGAACAAAGCTATGACCTCAACCGCTTTTTTAATAACCTAAAATTGTAGTAAATGGGTGTAAAATATTGGCAAGAATCAGGTCTTTTGTTCACACATAGTGGAGGATATGTTGTTTAAGGGTATGACCCCAGACGCTATTTTTGATACCCAAAATTGGCCTAAAGGGACGTAAAACACTAACAGCAAGAACCCTGTCTCCTGTTCGCAGGTATCGGAGGTGCGTTGGACAAAGCTATGACCTCAATCGCTTTTTTGATAACCTAAAATGGTAGTAAATGGGTGCAAAATATTGGCAAGAATCAGGTCTTTTGTTCACACATAGTGGAGGATATGTTGTTTAAGGTTATGACCACAAACGCTATTTTTGATACCCAAAATTGGCCTAAAGGGACGTAAAACACTAACAGCAAGAACCCTGTCTCCTGTTCGCAGGTATCGGAGGTGCGTTGGACAAAGCTATGACCTCAATCGCTTTTTTGATAACCTAAAATGGTAGTAAATGGGTGCAAAATATTGGCAAGAATCAGGTCTTTTGCACACATAGTGGAGGATATGTTGTTTAAGGTTATGACCACAAACGCTATTTTGATACCAGCAAGAACCCTGTCTCCTGTTCGCAGGTATCGGAGGTGCGTTGGCCAAGGGTGTGACTGTGAACGGTACGGAGTTCCAGTACCTGAGTCTTCAGTGCCGCTTTGAGGAGGCGGCGGTAGGTCCCCATGTGTTCTACAAGTGGTACCAGGGCACGGATACCACATTGCCCTTGGACATGGACGGGGATAGGCTGTACATAGACACTGAGGGTGAGTTCTTGGGAATGTTGTCGTCATTGTGTTGTCATCATCATCATCATCATCATCATCGTCATCATCATCATCATCATCATCATCATCATCATCATCATCATCATCATCATCATCATCATCATCATCATCATCATCATTATTATTATTATTATTATTATTATTATTATTATTATTATTATTATATATATATTTTAAAAACTTTTATTATCATGATTATTTTTATTTTTATTTTATCATTATTATTATTACTACTACTACTACTACTACTACTACTACTACTACTACTACTACTACTACTACTACTACTACTACTACTACTACTACTACTACTACTACTACTACTACTACTACTACTATTACTATTATTATTATTATTATCATTATCATTTTAATTATCACTATTAGTTCTATTGAGACACTGAGTACCTGAGTTGGATTCCCAGGTGGAGAGGTCTATCTAACGAATATATCTTGCTTTCTGCTAGGATGCCTCATACTCACAGCCTATTTGGCCGGTTCATGCAAGGTTCAAGCAGCCCGCCTCCTACACGATAAAAAAGTGTCGCTGAGAGTGTAAAACATTCACAGTCAAACAATCAGTTGTCGTGACACTGCCTGTAGACGTACTTTTGTGACACAAGGTTGTTAAGAGTATCTAAGAAAAGCAAAGCCAGAATATCTGATCATTCTTTGATGGTTTTTTTTCTCTAAATAAAAGATTGCGTGAAATATATGCTATGTATTACAAATCCCCACACCCCACCCCGTCTTCCCTTTCTCTCCCCCACCCCCCACCCCCAAACAAACACACAACAACAAACAAATACCCCAACCAAAACAACCAACCAACAAACACCCTAAAAATAAAAACAAGCAAACAAACAAACAAACACACAAACAAACAAGCAAACAAGCCAACAAACAAAATAAACAACCCCCCCAAAAAAAAACAATCGAAAAAACCCAAACCAAAACAACAACAAAAAGAAAAACCACATACAAAAACAAAACAACATCAAAACCATTGTTTTTTCTTTTTTAAAATCCAGGCACCTTGCATTTCACGTACCTGAAGCAGACAGACAGTAAGGAACTCCCCAGGGCCTACTTCTGCTTCCAGGAGGTTCTTCCTCTGATGAAACAGGCCAGCAACACCAGCCTGACTGTCCGGCCGGCCACAGGTCAGTCTACTGGACATTGTTGTTGTTGTTGTTGTTTTTTTGTTGTTATGCCTATCCGTTCGAAATGTTTGGAGCCCCGAAGAGCGTGCTCTTCGCCAGGGCCACCGCCTCTCTTGGGTAGTAGGGGGAGGCAGTCCAACCTCCCTGAATCCTCCTCAAAGAGATGCCACCGCCGGACCTCGATGGCAGGGCATCTCTGCAGCTAGTGATCCACCAATCTTGGGGCTCCTCACTGCCCTATGGACAAATTGGGTCCGATGACAAGTCTATTTTATTTTTGTAGGCCCGCAGCCCAGAGAAGTGACTGGTCCTGATTTTTGCCCGTAGTGACTGGTCACTGGGGGGCTTAAGTTGAGCCTCTCGTTGTTGTTGTTGTTGTTGTTGTTGTTGTTGTTGTTGTTGTTGTTGCTGTTGTTGTTGTTGTTGTTGTTGTTGTTGTTGTTCTTGTTATCGATCAAGCAACAGCTGGGCTCTCGCCCTTCTGGCCAATGCCATGTAGCGATAAGGGCAGGTTTGCTGCAGATGCTGTAATGTTCTATATAGTGTGTTGTCAATGTTTGGTCTCGGAGAGAGAAGAGTAGCTCTGCTGTCATTTAGGGCTGTGCAGTGGAATAGGTGGTGATCAACAGTCTCATATGCGTAGTCACACAAGGGACACACTGGGGGAAGTTCTGGATTTATTCTGTTCAGGTGAAAGGTGGGCAGTTTATGTTCTGTTCGTAGGCGGAAGATCGTGGTCTGTTTCTTTCTCTGCAGGTGGTTGATAATATTATCATTCCGTTTCCTTGTGGTCATATGTT